TCAAAGGTGCTTGTAAATCAATGCATTGAGACGAGGGTCGGTTGGAGTTTGGAAAAAAACAATATATATATATATATATATATTATTTTGTACTTATTAGTTGCATGGTACAAAAAAATTAAAACAGGAAAAATTCTTCGCTGGGATTAGTTGACAGCACTCACAAACTCTCGAGGGTGGAAATCTTTCCTAGCTCTGGCGGTATTGTACCTGTTAGCCGGTTTATGAATGTGAATTGGAGTTTCAAAAATACATACAGTTCTTGAAGGCAAGGCAACCTCGCCAGTTTTGGCGGGAGCGTCCTGTGGAGATTTTATTCTTTCAGTGAACTACACGTTCATTCAATCATGCAAACGAAGATTGTCAACTAATGATGAACTCTATTTCCTTCCAATACACTGCTATTTCAGTCTACATGAACGAGAAAATAACAATTTTTTTAATATCCGCATGCGCTGGCAAATACTAACAATTTCGAATAATGGTGATAGACTAATAGTGATGACGCAAAAGAGAGATAATTTTCTATATATTCTACAAAACTGGTACAATGACAGGAAACCAATAAATACATGCTGCTCATCGCAGGGTTTCAAAAAATTGTGGCATCTCGCACCGTGTAGAGTTGGTTACTTCGCAATACACCTTATTAATTAGGGATTTAATTACGTAGGTTTTCTAAATAAGACATCTTATTTAAATCAGAAGATTTTTCAGTGCGGGATGGACAGATATGACAGAGCATGGAAATGCAGTGTACTGAAGTTGCACGATGTTGGATAAATTAAAGAATAACATTTTGTTGGTGTGGGGAGGAGTGATGCGCCTTTTGTTTAGGGTCATGGCAAAATCTAATATGAATTTGACAGAAATACCGGAAAAAGGCGTGTGGCATGAAAGTTTGCAGAAAGTTTTCTTGGGTGGAAACCAATACAGAAAATTGTGGATAGCACATCTTCAAATTGCTCTAAACTTTCCGCATTGCTTTTAGATTGTAATTATGATCTCAAATGGATCTTAGATGATTTTTTCAACAGCATGCTTGCTCGTACCGTACTAGATTTGTCTCATAATGCCATTGAGCGAGCGTTTGCCCAAATCGGACTCTAACTTGGAATGCCTCATCAAATTATTGCTTTCAAATTGCTTGGTATTGAATTACGCACCGTCATTAAAAAAATTGTGGCGGTTAATATCATTGGACCTCTCGTATACCATCATGACCGAAGCACCTTGTGGTTCGAGAAAGCTGGAAGCTATTTCAACCAAGTTTTGTGACATTGAAGAGTTTATGACTATGTTATGAGTTTCCAAGACAAAGATCATGTACTTAAAAGTCATTGTCTGACGAGTTTAGCTACATTATCGGGTGTGATTGAACTTGCTATTGATGATGAGATTGCATTGCATGAGTATTCATTAAAAAAAGGTGGTTTTTTGTGGTATTGATTTGGGACAGAGTGGTGCTTCCAGAAACCTCACTAACTCAGTTGATTACAAGTGAGTGTCATCAATTTGAAGACTTTAAACCAATATGGATACCATTTACTCCATCCTTGCATAGATGCACCCCATTTTCTCACCTTATGTCCCTCGATATTCAGGAACGCAGCAGCATGAGGATTCCGATGATGTGGAAATTATTTGCACAGCTCCAAAACCTAGAGACCATTTCTGTAGGATCTTGTCAATTGATGAAAGAAATAGTTAGACAAGATTGTAGTGGTGACATTATTCCCCTTACCACCGTCACCTTCCCCAAACTGAGATCTGTGTTATCGCGTTGGCTACCGAATTAAATTCCGTATTCAGAGGAACCATGATCTGTCCTTCTCTCAAAGATTTTAGTGCCTTCTATTGTGAGAAACTAAGCCACCGATTTCAGTGCCTTCTCTCAAAGATTTCTTTTTTCGTTCTCTATATTGTTTTCAGGTTGAATCATTCCTTTTACCTTCTATTTAATTTTTATTCTCCTTAGCAGGCCTCAACTGGATGAGCATTGATCTGATACAGCAGGTCCAGTTCTCCTCCCAAATGTCAACTTTAATTTCTTTTATTAGAGTTAAAATACCATTTTTGCTTTCCATGCATTCTCTTTGGAGTACCATATATAGTTATAAGCTGCATTTCAAGGTTATATGGATATCAATTACCACAATCAAAATATATCTCCTGGTGCTGGAGTTCATGAATCAACTTTATTTTGCTTCAGAATGTCATACCTAGTGCTCATTTCTTCACTAAATGTACTAACTAATGTCATGATGATGAGTCCCTTGTTAATTGAACAAAGAGAGGCAAAAAATGACAAATTTAATATATTTTCTTAATATAATTTCACGTGATATAGTGCTTCAGTGCTTAATATGGTGCGACAATTTTAGTGGCCACACATATATCAATGATTTTGATAATTGCATTGAAGAATTGATATTTGAATTTTGATGTCTCACAGCGACTCACACATGTGATAGAACATGTACACATCTAAAATTTTTAGAACAAGTGGCAGAAAGATTTTACAAATTGTTGTAGCTAAACTTGAGACTAAATGCATTTTCAAGATATATTCCCACTCTCCCCAAACTGACATCTGCGGATATCTCCTTCAAAACTTGACTTCCTTTTATCATAGGGATATCATTTATTTGCAGAGTACATATATGAACTTTATTAATGTTTGTGTTTGTCTTATTTTTCTTTATTTGAATTTTAAATATTTGTCATTAATTTATTTTAAACATCGCATTTGTGTTTACAATTGCTCTGATTTTGCCTTTACTTGACTCTAGCGTTTGGATTTAGTCTAACACTTCATTTTAGAGAGGACCAAACTAGAATGCTGATCAATTTTGGAGTCGCTGCCAATAAAAAAAGTCCTGCCTTTTTAAACTTCAATTAATCGATCTTTTGAAAGTTTGAGAGTGCATGCATATTATTTTAGTTATATCAAGTAGAACTTTAAATAAATGTTAACTACAATTTTGTGTTAATTTATTCTTTAGAGTTCAATTCGTGCCATTCACTAGCACAAAAAGAAATATTTACACCGGTTAAAATTATATAAAACCGGTGTAGATAAAATTGGTGTAGAAACCTTATTCATATCTACACCAGTTATATAACCGGTGTAGATATCGATCATATCTATGCTGGTTGGTTAACTGGTGTAGATAATACTTAAGAAATGGAAATTATTTTTTAAAATAAAAAATCATATAGCTACACCGATTATGGATTATAACCTGTGTAAATATCTCCGGTGTAGATATGACAAATATTTTTTAAAAAAAATTAGGGGCTTTTTTTTTATAGGAGTTGATTTAAATAACCTCCTATCTAAAAAAAATGCCCCCTATTTAAACAACAACATATTTAAATTATCTACAATCCAAAAATTCATTCAACATAAGTTCCAAGTCAAAAAAACTAATGAATAAGAGTTCAAATTATATTTTTTTAGAATAGAAAAAGCAAGAGTTCAAATTATGAACACAGGCAACATCAATTATCCAAAGTCTTTAGTATAAATAACAATCAACCCTATCTTTCAAGGGTACCAAGAGTAAACTTAAAACTAAATGTTGAAAATGAATGCATGGCTTTTAAAATTCATACAAGGGTAAACAGTATAAACAATAAATTTATCAGTTTTCAAAATCATCAATCAGCGTATTAGAAAATAAATTGTTTACCAACCTATAGTTACATATTGTCACTATCTTGTTTTTTCCCTTCAAATGTTTAAGTAAATAAAACAAACCACCCAAAGTTGCTCATCAATGCCGAACACATCATAGCCTCTTTTCCATGTAAGATTTGTCAGCAATTCATAAGCATATTGAATCTGCGAACATATGTAGAGACTTGCCATATTAGCAAAATAATACAATTAAAATAGAAAGAAAAATGGTCAAAATTGTTTGATTTGCCATATTAGCAAGATTATTCATTGCAATCAGTTAAATTATTGTGTCAGAAAGTCTACCAAATATCAAGGTTTTAGAAGTGACAACTGTCAGGGACAAATTCTTCATTTGGCCTCAAAGTCACAGCATAATTTTAATCAGCCTTCAATTTTGTGAGAATTAAGATATATGTAAATTTGAATAACTCTTTTATCACACAGAGAATTTGAAAACACGGCCAAATTACCACTTCTATCTCTTCTTGGAACCACATGGACGGAGCACGTTCCTACTAACTTGTCCACTTTTGGCCAAATAAGACCTAGCCAAATCCAATAGAGTTGAACTCACCAGCTTTTGCACTTACAGAACATAAAATGCACATTTGGATATACTCAAAATCAGCATCAACACTAGCACCGGGAGAATCATCTCCACATTTTTTTTTAAAATTTTGGGTTTCGACAAAGCAAACAAGCACATCTTTAACAAAGTCTAACATACACTAGTATTTATAACTGATGCATATTTTGTGGCTAATTTTGTACAAAAGATTGATCCATTCCCATCAGATGTCAACAATAATAATCACAATATGCAAGTTATGTAAAAAAATACACTAAAGCTTATATTGTTTCTTTTATTTAGAGAATGAGGTTTTACTATAGTTAACTGCAAGTTATGCTACTACAGCTATGCTTTTTGGCACAGGTTTTCCTTCTTACTTGAGCTTTTCTATCTTCTTTTGTGCTTCTTTAGCCTAAGTAAACTTCAAAAGTGCATTTTCTGTAATGACCCAAAAATTTAATTAAAATTTAAGTTGATGGTAAAATATTTTAATAATATTTTTATATATAGTTTGCTATAAATTTACCAAGAAGGAGAGCGATCTAGTGGAACCTAAGCCAATTTGTTGTCCTACAGCTCTTGTGTTCGAATCCCTCTGAGGCTAGGGAGAAATTTTCTTGATTTCTTTTGCTTCAGTCTTGTTGGGTAAAATTACAGGTTTGCCCCTCTAGAAAAAAAAATGAGACAGAGATAAAAATCGCACGCAAGGTTCTGCTCTGCCATTCTTCTTTTTCCTTCGACAGATCTAGAACCAGCTAGCACCGCCTTTTCTCCTCCGATCTATTTTCGTTCTTCCCACTATGAGTGACGCCGGTCACTGTGATGGAGGAGCCCTCCTCTTCCGCCGTTGCATGAGTGGGTTAAGAATGTTGGACTTCATCATCTCCCCTGGTCCGCGACACAGATCGCTCCACCTCGCTCGCAGTCTAGCTCGTCTTCGCTGCTTCCGTCCATTGTTGTTGAGAAATTCCACTGTGAGTTTTTCTTTCCTTGGTCGTTGTCCTGAGCTGTTTGTGTGTGCCACTATTTGTTCTTCTCTTTTCTCCTTTTATGCTTACCGCATCTGATGGGTTTAAGGGAGTTTAAAATTTTTCTCCCTGATTCTGGCGTTTTTAATTTAAGTAGCTGTGAAGGATTGTTTTGATGGTTGTAGCTCTTTTCCCCTGCTTCTGCCTCCGTTTTTTTTTCTCCATGTATCTGCCGATATGAGCAAAGATAGAGAGGTCTCGAGTCCACTTCTCTGTTATTGTTTCTGTGTGCTTGCTCTTAGGACAGAACTGATGAAGCTTGAGTTTTTCTGCAATTTTAATGTTGGACTGAGACGGTACTTAATTAATTTAATTCCTGTGGATTTAGAATTGATATTCTTGTTGGAGGGAATGGGACTCGGGGGTTGTTTGGTTTAAATGTTTATATGGTGAATCTTTGGCAATGGAATTAAAGAGGAAGAAGTTGATTTGAGCTCGAGAATTAGTGTATGGAAGGTTTTTGATAAAAATGTTTGTATGAAGGAGTTTTATCTAATTATGAAGTTGATAAATTCTATCAGGTCTTATGAGGGTGCATTTGGTAAGGGTTCTATTTAAGCCAAGTTAGTCTTGTGGAAAAATTTTGATTATGTAGTTATGGGATGGTTAATTGAATTTTGGAAATTTCATTGTTGATGATGTAAGAAAAATTATGGTGTTGATTTATGATTCATTTTTAGGGGCAATTAAAGTATTTGGATAAAGTAAGTTATAAAATATTATTAAATTAATAGAATTTGGGTGTGCACCTTTGTAATGTATATACCTTGATTAAAATTTGGTTACTGGTGCTTGAGATGAGTTGGAAAGACAAGTATAAAATAGATAAAGCTTTGTGTGTGTGTGTGTGTAAAAAAAATATTGTAAGGGCCAAAGGACTCCAATTATTTATACGTTGGATTCATTTAAGAACTTAGTGACTCCAGTGTCTTTATGGTAAGGGAATTATTAAATTTCAGTAAAAGTCACTAAAAGTTTGTATTATTGAATAGGGGATTTGGAGAGAGAAAATTTTGGCTGGAGTAAAAAAGGAAGGGTTGAAGCTTTAAAGGGTGAATTTTGTGTTGGGAACAATGCGGGTAAGTGAATAGCGTCCCAACTGATATTTCAATAAAATTTTTACTGAAATGTTACATTTTTATACAAATCCTTTTTACAGCAACAATGTGATTATTGGATATTTTGTTGATTAAAGTATTTTTTTTTGTGAAGTTATCTTTACCAGATTTGATAATTTTATTTTATCAGTAAATATAAGTTTGGATTTTAATTATGGGATTTTTCATTCTGGAATTTATTGAATTGATACAGGAATGATTCTTGCGAGTTTGACTTCAAAATTTTTGATTATTCGATAAATGCAAGCATGAGCATTTGATATAAAATTTTGTTTTCGTGGCAAGAGCCGCATTTGGTTATTTACCTCGTGAACTTTGTGTCCACGTTTGTTAATTGTTCTGATAAGTCCCTGTAATATGAATTTGATTATTTGATGATTTTATATTCCATTGGTTTTTTAATTAGTGAATTATTTATAATTATTTTATTTTTATTTACTTTTTTGCAATCAAGTGATAATAATATTTGATATGATATTTTAATATTTCAAGATTTTATTTAAACTTTATAAAATTCTTTTATTTTTGAAGTTTATTAAATTTTATTGAAAATTGTTGCCTCTTTGAATTGCATAATTGTTTCAAACTTTTCTTTTATTCATGTTCAATTATTTATTGTTGGGACGTTATTCACTGGAAAAGATATTTTGGTCTCAGATGGTATAGTTGAACTCGTGACTCGAGATATCCACTGAGGAGTTTTATTGCTGAATTGAAGCAGAAGAATTATTTTAGTCAAATCTTAATTTGATAAAAATTTAAATTTTATCCCTACGTTGACGTCTGGCCTTAGGTGCTCCACGTAGACTATAGGTAAGATCCTCACATTTTTTAAATTGAATATCTGATTTAATATTGTAACAGTTTTTAATTACTCTATTAGTGTATTTAATTTATTAATTTCAGAATTTTTTCGATCACGGCTTAAGGGATGTGAGTTTTGTGCCTATATCTTGTGCCAGTCACACCTCAGTCTTGGGGGTGTGACATTTCTATATCAGAAATTCTGCAATTACATAAACTTCAATCATATAAAGACAATTTAGATCCGTCTTATTCTTGGACTAACCACTTTCTTACACTAATAATACATCAACATCATCGTTCACAAATATTAAACCTGGGTGATAAATTTCAACATGGACACATGGGAGATGTTTAAGAATTGACCCCACCTCATTGCTACTGGAGCCAAGTTTTTGAATCCAAACTCACCTCACAAGACAAATAGGTAGGTTCTGTCACTCCCCAGATTTCATGGATCCCACCATTACTGCCCAATTGTCCACCGTTCAAGATCCATCGATTCACCATGCTTAAAAAAAAAAAAGTTGCATTCGCATTTTCCCAAAAGAGGCTTAAACAAAGCAAAAGTAGATTCAAAGAAACTGAGCACCTCAAAGGCCAACAAATTAAAGCAAACACACTTGCCTCCCACCATAAAGGACAAGATATTCTCTAAACCCACAGAACCACAACTTTGCTTTGAAATTTAATCAACTATTGTACATTTGGCAGTTGTAATTATTTGATGAGTAATTTATTTAATCAACTATCGTAAATCTACCACAATCAATCATCATGAATTCAAAATTGGAATTCCAAAAGGACAGACTTTTGATTGGCGGATTAAGGGCTTAAATGTGATAGGGAAAAAAAATTTTGGGGATGGTTACCTATCGCGTCCGATCCCTTGTATATTCCCCCTATCCATGGTAATGGAATTCACGGAGGAGCATGAACGAATCGGAGCTGATTTCTGATTCATTGGAATCGAAAGTGGTCTTTTAACCAGTGAAGACGCCCTTAACCTTCTCCATCAAGGAAGCATGGGCTATTAACGAGGAGAAGATAGAGCGGCCGCGTCACATAGAAGAGTCAAGAGAGTAGAGGCTAACTGGCTGAATCAAGAGGGGAAGTTGAAACGAAGGCTTAGGGTTTACCTTAACAACACCGGTTATATTTATTAATAATCTAAAAATAATGTTTTAAAAAATTAAAATATATAACTGTAGTAGCCCAGAAATAATAATAACAATAAATAATATATATAATAATAATATAAATATATTAAGTTGTTTAGAGTATATTTTATTTATGTTTGGAGTAATTATGACAATATGAAGTGTTGGTAGAGTGGAAGTGTGTATGATATCCATTACTAAGATTCCAAGTTCAAATTTCTGATGCTAAATGGGATTTTATTTTTGGTTTCAGCTCCTCCAAAATTACTAAACAGCCCTCTCTTCCATTTGATTATTATTCTTTTCTCTCCTTTCCAATACCACTGTACAGAGCTGAAGAGGGACTTAGAATTTCGTCTCTAAAGCTTCAAGGTTCAACAGAAAGAAAATCACTAACCATCATCTTCCTCTCCTCCGTTTTTTCTGTGCGCAGCACCAATATATAGAAGTGAAGGCTTATCACTATTTTGATACGTCCAGGCCTTCTTTGTGCATCTGCCTCTGTTCATTTTTTTCTTGTCGTTGTTCTACCTTTGCTGTGCACATCTGGGTCGTTGGCTGATGGAAGAAATCAGGTCGCTGGAGTGGGTGTGCTGATCGCGAATCTAAATTAGCACTGAGTTCGTTTTCTTCTCGTGAGTGATGCTCTGTTTTTCCTTCTTTTTGGTTCAGAAAAAAATCTCATCTTCTTTTCCTATTTGGTTGACAGCCTCTGATCTCTCCCTCCTTTATTCTGTTCATTTGTAATTGGGGAGTGAAGGAAGAGCTAGTATGGTGTTGTGGAAGAATTAATTCATGGGTTGAGGCTGAAATATTTCTGTATTATTCTTCCCTGGTTCAGTTGTAGATTTTGTTTTCTTCCTCTGTGTGTGTGCACTATCGGCTAACTAAGGTGAGAAATTTGGCATTGTTTCAATTGTTGGTCTATTGTGCATGTGAATGGATGGAATAATGGAGTTGAATATTGAAAATTATTCTCCTTGCTGCTGAAAAACTTGAATTAAGTTGAATATACAATAAGAAAAGGGGATGATGATAGTGCAGATTAAATTCTCAATTGGAAATAATT